GGACGGTCACTTAAACATGAATTAGCAGTGTGTGGCAGCAGCCAAAAAAGCTAATACAATCATAGATTGTGTAAACAAAAGTCACCAGTAGACCAAACTGGCTCCCTCCCCAAAGAGATTTCTCATGTATATATCCTGATGTAGATTCATCAGGAGGTGAAGTAGGTTTGCTTTTACTATTTGTTTTTATGCTATTGGATAATGTATTGTTAACTGTTTTCTGGAAAGGTTTTTAATTTTGCATTTATCCTTATAACTTATCCTGAGGATCTGCATATCAAAGCTTATGAGAAAGCAATTCTTCCCGCTGTCAGATCCATGTATCTGTCATTTCTTCAGTGGAAGAAGAAAAGTGGGGGGGAGGCTGATAAAGAAATCCTTTAACCTGAATATATTTAATCTTATATCAAATTTGTATAACCCACACATGATACAATGGAGGGAGAAAAACCAGATGGTCAGAACTATCACCTCTGAGAGGTACAACCAGGAAATGAGAAGATCATAACAATTCCACAATGGGATGTGTCTTGGAAATCTCTGAATAGTTCGTTCTAAAAAGGGGGTGGTGGGGGAAAACTAGGTATGCCCTGGGAAATTGTGAAAAAGATCGTTCCTTAAAAAAATGGGGTGGGGAGGAATTAACATAGTGGCTTTTGTTTCACTAAATACACATCAAGATATGGGGAGGGGTTCTAAGCTCCCTTATGTATCCCCGTATGCCTGAGAGACCTCAGATGCTGCTTTGAACTCCTACAGGAATTGTCTCATCTCAGTAAAGGATTCCTTTTTGATACGTTTTCAGAAGTTTATTCTAGCTGAGTGAATGGGAAAAGTTCTGTAGCCTGACATAAAGCAGCGTCTGCAATAGAGGTCAGCCCAGAGAGGAATTTTTTTTTAAAAAAAAACCCTTCACTCTACTGAGGGGACCCTGCAAGAAAGGAAAATGTCTGAGTACAGCAAGGACCAAGGGGAAGCCAAATGGTGGGGAGAAACATTGACAGTTACCCAACCAGATACTGACTTGGTGCACCCCATTGAAGATAGCGAGGCTGCCTATGAAACCTCCACCAAGCCCCAGTGGTCTATAGGTGTAGGAAAAAGAGACAGCTGGGATGGAAGAACCAGAAGAGTAACCTTCACCCAGGGCAATCGTAAACCTGGGTGGAAATTGGAGCTGGAGGCCCTATTGAATCAGGAAGAATGGGACGAGGAGCCACCGGCCGACGACTGAATGAGACGGTACATAAATCACCTCATGAGGGAAGCCCTGGAGAACTGCGAGGTGAGGGATGCACCAGGAAGACAATGCAGGAGAGGGAAGGAACCAGAAAATGAAAGAACCTGAGCCACCACACTGGATCCAGCGGAGATTGAGCGAGCAGAGGGACAAGCCGAAGAACCAGGAGCCATACCAGGTACCCGACCCCTAAATGCCCTGGATCAGGGGATTAACCCTGGCCCACCCAGATACATACAACTGCAGAGGAAGATCCCACCCTTGGGGGTAAACTTTGATGGAGACCCCCAGAAACTGGGATTTTTCCTGGCGCGAGTGCTCACCTACATGCAAGAATATGGGCGGGATTTCCCAACCCAGGGGTCCCAAGTACAAATCATGAGCCTGGCCCCTGAAGGGGCAGCAGCCAGATGGATGGTGACGCTCCACAACGTGAATGCCCCAGAATTAAGGAACCTCGATCGCTTCATGATGGCCTTACGCCACCACTTCGAGGACCCCCTCGCCAATAGAAAAGCCCGCGACCGCATTAGAGTCGTAAAATAAGGCTGTCACCCGGTAGCAGAATACACTGAGGAATTTCATGACCTGGCCAGCTGGGAAGACTGATCAGAGGATATCCTAGTCTGTTGGTTCAAAGATGGACTAAATGATGACCTATACGCTGCCTCCCTGGCCCATGGGGCTCCAAAACTGTTGCATGAATGATACATGATGGCAGAGGAAGCAGAGATAGACATGACTCGAAACCAGTACCGCAGTGGCAAGCCTTGGAAAAGATCCCCACCCCTGGGGAAATGGAAAGTCTTCAAACCCCAATCCACCATGATTCCAAGAACGTCTGGTTGCTTTAAGTGTGGAAAGGAGGGACACCGTGCATCAGAATGCCATTCGAATACCCCTGCCAGAAAGCTAGACCACCCAGCAGGGGGGAAACCTGGAACATCCAGCCCTCGAGGAAAGGAGACTGGCCTGAGGGGCCGAGTAGATGTGAGACTCCGATCCCTCACCAACTCAGAAGAAGAACCCCTGAGGGGTTCCTGAGCCAGGAGTTCCTGAGAAAAATGATCCAAGGGGACCTGAGCCAGTCCGAAAGTGATCCGGAAGACGACCCACTGGTAAGCAATCCAATTAAACCAATCACCCTACCCCTGAGACTGTTTATCCCCAGCTGAGGGAAGGGGGAGGAAGTTGCAGCATTGCTGGATTCGGGATGCACCCGATGCCTAATAAATCCCTCCCTTGCAGAGAAATTGGGGATCCAACTGAAAGAAATGGAAAATCCCATTGCTTTCTGCCAATTAGATGGAACTATAGCGGGGGGGGGGGGGCAGCCAGGCTTACCACAGAACCATTAAAAATAAGACTAGGGAACCATACAGAAATGTAGCCCCAGGAATGGAAGAGCCGCTAGTCCTAGGTCTCATATGGCTGCAGAAATGGAATCCAAAAATAAATTGGAGGACAGGAACCGTACAATTCCAGAGAGACGTAATATCTGCAAATAGCTCAGAGGAAAGGATAAAGAAAGGGACAGAGAACAGAGAATCAGCCATGACTGGACAGTCGGCTGAATCCATTAACATCCCCAATGAGTACCAGGATCTGGTCCAAGCATTTAGTGAGAAAGCTTGTGATGAACTCCCACCCCATCGTGCCACAGACTGCGCTATTGAAATCCTATCAGGGGCTAAATTCCCCAAACCACAAATGTACTGCATGTCCCCCAGAGAACTGAAAGAACTCAGAGCATTTATTGATAAAAATTTAAAAAGGGGTTTCATTGAACCTGCCCGACCAAAAATAGCTGCCCCAGTGTTATTCTGCAAAAAGAAAGATGGCTCAGCACACTTGTGTGTTAATTACAAAAAATTGAATGCAATTTGCATAGAGAATATGTATCCACTCCCCCTCATGAAGGACATGTTAGCCCACCTCTCGAAAGGAAATTTTTTTTCAAAGTTAGACATGAGAGGCATATCACCGCATCAGAATAAAGGAAGGGGATGAGTGGAAGACAGCTTTTAACACACCATTGGGATGCTACCAATTTAAAGTGCTCCCCTTTGGACTGCAAGGAGCGCCTGCCATGTTTATGCAATTGATCAATGAAACCCTTCATGAATTTTTATATAAAGGGGTTCTAGTGTATCTTGATGATATTTTAATCTACACGGAAACAATGGAAGAACACATCAAGCTACTCTGTGCAGTCCTCACAAAACTCTTAGACACTAAACTATTTCGCAAAACTCTTCAAATGTGAATTCCACCAAGAAAAAATTGACTATTTGGGATATAGAATATCCCACGAGGGAATAGAGATGGACCCACAGAAAGTAAAAGCTGTACTGGACTGGAACCCACCGCACACCTGCAAACAACTGCAAAGCTTCCTGGGGTTTGCGAACTTTTATCGCCAATTCATTCCAGCTTTTGCAAACATTGCCCTCCCTATCACGAACTTGCTAAAAATGAAAGGGGCGGGGGGAGAAACCCAAACCAAGGCAACCCCTTATCTGGACAATGGAATGCCAAGTGGCATTCGAGAAATTCAAACATCTATTCTCAGCAGAAACTGTCCTTAAGCACTCAGATCCTGAACAACCTTTTGTCATCCAAGCAGATGCTAGTGATGTTGCAGTTGGAGCAGTCCTCCTCCAAAAGAATGGAAGTGGACAATTACAACCATGCGCTTATACATCCAAGAAACTGACGGAAACCGAGCAAAGATGGGCCATATGGGAGAAAGAGGCATATGCTGTGTGGTGGGCAATGCTCACATGGAGACATTTCCTGGAAAGAAACCAAATCCCCTTTGAAGTATGGACTGATCACAAAAATCTGGAAGCCCTGAAAAATCCACGGAAACTCTCCAAAAAACAAGCAAGGGGGGCTCAATACTTTAAACGGTTTAATTTCACTCTCAAATATTTTCCTGGGAGAAAGAACTGTTAGATCGGTGGATCGGGTCACAGAAGAGGCGAGACGCTTAAGTGAACATTCAGCTCTTTATTGTAGGTTTAGAACAAGGACGGCTTAAAGCGTGCGAGCCGCTTGGCTTTATACAGCCGGCCGGTGGCTCGGTGGCCAATGGCAGCGCTTTGAATCTCCCGCGATCGGCTCGGCTAATCGCGGTAGATTCTTAGCGCTCCAATCACAGGCGTTACTTGAACCAATCGGATTGCGGTCTGGGTGGCCCAATCAGAATGCGAGTCTTCAAGAATGTTAATACAGAACACCCCTCCCCTCATGGTTTCGTCCGACGCAGTGTCGTGACGTAGTCGCGCAGGTAGGTGGGGCTTCGAACCTGTCTGGCTGATCTGCGTGGCTCAGTCGGTGTCTGGTCGTCGGCCGGTTCGGACGGGCTCCGCGTCGCTCTTCACTTCGCTGATGGAACCGCCTGGAAGGGTGAGCCGGGCCTGTCGCCACAGCTCCCGCCCGGACTACCTGGGTTGGTCGAGTTGCGGTTCCTGTTGCTCTCGCTCGGTCTCTCCGGGCTGGTTGAGCTGGCTTGGCTGTACCTTCCAGGTGAAGATCTCGTCTGCGACAGTTCGAGGTCTGCTGGTGAGTATGGCTGGTTTATTTGATCGTTTCTGTCTTCTGGCGGGGGGTGTTCGGTTTGCGTTGGGGTGTGTGTCGTTGATGATTCCGGCCTGCCGTTTTTTACCGTCTTGGATGTTGAGGCTTTCCCTCCCTCTCTGCTTTCTTTGGTAGCAGTTGTCGAGGCGTCGGGGGTGTTGGTGGCTAGTCTGGACCGTAGCTGGTCGCTGTGCCGTTTCCAGCTCTTTCCGTCTGTCGTTTGGAGTCTGTATGATCGGGGCCCGGTTACCTGTGTTATTTGTGCGGGAACCCAGAGGGGGTCTCCCGTGAAGTTCTTTGCGTAGACCGTGTCCCCGATGTTGAATGCCCGGTACCGGCTGGAGGAGTCTGGGGGTTTCTCTGGGTTGTAGGTGGGGTGTAGGCAGTCCAGTGGAGACCTCAGTTTCCTTCCCATTAGTAACTCCGCTGGGCTCTTGTTCATGGTCGTGTTCGGCGTGATGTGCTGTATGAAGAGTAGTTTGTTTATTTTTTCCTGGATGTCGCCGGTTTTGATTTTTTGGATGGCTTTTTTTGTGTATTGGACCATCCGTTCCGCCCTACCGTTTGCCGCCGGGTGAGCCGTCGAGGTTAAGGCGTGTCTGATGCACCGTTCGGCTAGGTATTTTTCAAATGCCAGTGCCGTGAACTGTGGCCCATTGTCCGACACTATGACATCCGGTAACCCGTGTGTTGCAAAGAGTCCATTGAGCTTGTTGATGACCGCTTCTGTTGTTGTTGCCCTCATAGTGCTTACCTCCAGCCAGTTGGAGTAAGCATCTACGGTGATGAGGAATGTATGCCCCTTGGTTGGCCTGGCGAAGTCTATGTGTATTCGCGACCATGGTCCTCTCGGGGTCTCCCATTCCAGGACCGGCGTGGCGGGGGGGTGGCTCTCGACTCTTGGCACCTGCTGCAACCGGCGACCCATGTCTCGATTTGTTTGTCCATCCCTGGCCACCAAGCGTAGCTTCTGGCCAGGGCTTTCATCTTGACGATCCCTGGGTGTCCCTCGTGCAGCATTGCCAACACTCTGTCTTGTAGTGCTTCCGGTATGACTACCCGGTCGCCCCAGAGTATGCACCCCCTTTGTGAGAACAGCTCAGTTTGGCGGTTTCGGAAGGCTCTGAACTGCTCGCCGCCGTCGCTTTCTGGCCACCCTCGCTCTACCCAGCTCAATACCCGCGCCAGCCATTTGTCTTTATTTGTTTCATGGGCAATGTCTGGCGCGGTTAAGAGTGGGCTGGGTAGGGTCTCGATTTGCAGGGTCGTCGTTGTGGGCGCTGGGTCGTCGTCTAGGTTGGGTAGTGGTGACCGGCTTAGTGCGTCAGCGTGCGGAATGTTCTTGCCGGGCCGGTGTGATAGTTCGTATGAGTATGCGGCAAGGAACTCGGACCACCTCGTCATCCGGGGCGACAGGATGTTCGGGGTGGCCTTGTTCCCTGCGAGTATCCCGAGCAGGGGCTTGTGGTCTGTAATGATAGAGAAGTCCCTACCATAAAGGTATTCGTGGAACCTTTTCACTCCGGCGACGATGGCGAGGGCTTCTTTGTCCAGTTGACTGTAATTTCTTTCCGGTTTGGCCAGCATTTGGGAGAAGAAGGCGATGGGTGCTTCCTTCCCGTTGGGTAGGGTGTGGCTGAGGACTGCTCCGATGCCGAACGGTGATGCATCGCACGTTACCGTGAGCGGGAGGGTCTCGCTATACTGGATCAGGACTGCGTCCGATATTAGCAGGTTTTTTGTTCGTTGGAACGCAGTCTCCTCCCGCTTCCCCCAGGTCCAGGTGGCCGTTTTATCGAGTAGCCGGTGTAGGGGTTCCGCCACGGTCGCCTTTTGGGGTAGGAAAACATTGTAAAAGTTAAGCAGTCCCAAGAATGCCTGTAGTTCCGCCTTGTTTGTTTGTGTGGGGGCTTCCTTGATGGCTCTGAGTTTCTTCCCAGTTGGGTGTATTCCGTGCCGGTCCAGGAGGTACCCCAGGAACTCGACCCTCTCGGTGTGGAGTTGGCACTTGTCTCTTTTGACTTTAAGGCCGGCATCTTTGAATTTGTTAAGCACTGCCCTTAAACGGGTCTCCAATTGTTCTCTGTTGGCGGCTGCGATCAGCACGTCATCGAAGTAGGGAACCACCCCTTTTATTCCCTGGAGGAGTCTTTCCATGAGACTTTGAAAAACTCCTGGAGCGACGCTGACTCCAAATTGGAGTCGGTTGCACCGAAAAGCCCCCCGGTGTGTAACAATCGTTTGCGCTTCAGCTGTCTCCGCATCGACCGGCAATTGCTGATACGCTTGTGCCAAGTCGAGTTTTGCGAAGACCCAGCCTCCCCCCAGTGAGTGCAGAAGGTGCTGTACTACTGGGACGGGGTAGGCGCTTTGCTGCAGCGCGTGATTGAGGGTGGCCTTGTAGTCCCCGCAAATTCTTATGGAGCCATCGGGTTTGATGGGGGTGACTATAGGCGTCTCCCAACGGGCATGGTCGATGGGTTCTAGTACCCCTTGCGCAACGAGCTTGTCTAGCTGCTCGTCGATTTTCGGTTTGAGCACAAAAGGCACTCGCCGAGGTTTGAGGCGGATCGGGGCGATGTTGGGGTTAAGGTTGAAAGATATAGGGGGCCCTCGGTACTTGCCTAGCGAGTTGTCGAAGACCTCCTGGAATTCTTTTACGAGGGTCGCTTCCCAGTTGGCCTCGTCTGTGTGATGGATGCCCATCACCTCGATGCCCAGCGGGGCGAACCATTGCAGGCCGAGCAAGCTGGGGCGGTCCCGGTCCACGATTGTGAGTGGCAAGATGTCGGTGTGGTTCTTGAAAGCGACCTTGAAGTGCCCAATGCTGACCACAGGGATGCGGTTTCCCTGGTAGTCTTTCAGGATTAGCTTCTGGTCGTCTAGCTCGTTGCGGCGGATGGTCGGGACTAGGTGCTTGATTGTGCGCCACGAAACCATTGAGAGGTAGGACCCGGAGTCCACTTCCATCTCGCAGGGCTGGTCCTCGATGAGCAGGGCCACGTGTACCTTCCGGGCGTCCGTGGTTGAAGAATGGCCGATGACGACCGTCTGGTGGGTTTCCTCGCGCTGCTGTGCTTCGCTGAATCGTCGGCTGTGGCTGTCGCGGCTCCACCAGCTCTCGGTTGGTCGGTCTCGGTGCCTGGGGGGGGTGCTGTCTCGTCGTCGCGGGCTGTTGCCTCGCCGCTGTGGGCTGTAGCTTGGCGATGTGCCCCCGCTTTTCGCAATGCTTGCAAATGGCAGTTGAGAAAACGGCATTCGGAGCAGGGGTGATCGCCGCCGCAGCCGGCGCACTGGAAACTCGACTTACATCCCCGGCGGTCCCGGCGGTCCCGCTCGGTCTGCAGCCGGTGGATTTCCTCGTCTTCGTCCTCGGTGTCGGATTGGGGCTCGAGGTCGCCGTGATGCGTGGTCGTTTCTCGACGGCTGGTTTCCCCGGGTCTTGCGGTGGCCGGGGTCGCTTCTTTGGTCGGTGGCCGTTCCGTCGCGTTGTCTTGCCTCATCCAAGCTGCTGACTGGCGGGTGGCCTCGGCGGCAGTGGCCTCGGCGAGGGCGTCCACGAGGGAGATGTTGCCTCTGGCCATCAGCCGGCTCTGCAACACGGGGTCTCTGAGTCCGAGGACGACTCGGTCCCGAAGTGCTTGGTCCAGGTCGGGGAATTCGCAGGGACCTCCCAGGTTCCGCAGCTGGGCCACGAAGTCGCCGATGGTCTCGCCTTCACGCTGATCTCGGCGGTAGAAGTCGTACCTGCGGATGAGGATGGGCATGGTAGGGGCGTAATGGCGGCGCAAGATGGGCTCGAGGTCAGCCCAGTCCATCTCCTTAACGTCGGTGGGCTTTGCCAACGCCTTGGCCATTTTAAACACCGCGGCCCCGCAGTGTGTTAGGAATACTGCCCGCTTCCTCTGGCCGTTGGCGTCCTTGAGATTACTGCATTCCAGGAACATCTGGAAGCGGTCGATGTATGACTCCCAGTCTTCGGTTGCTGGGTCAAATGGAGTGGGCGGCAGGGTGCTGGCCATCTTGCAGGGCGCTGATCACCGTTTGCCACGTGCTAGTCGGTCCTCGCCTCACAATCCCACCTTCGTCGCCAATGTTAGATCGGTGGATCGGGTCACAGAAGAGGCAAGACGCTTAAGTGAACATTCAGCTCTTTATTGTAGGTTTAGAACAAGGACGGCTTAAAGCATGCGAGCCGCTTGGCTTTATACAGCTGGCTGGCGGCTCGGCGGCCAATGGCAGCGCTTTGAATCTCCCGCGATCGGCTCGGCCAATCACGGTAGATTCTTAGCGCTCCAATCACAGGCGTGACTTGAACCAATCGGATTGCGGTCTGGGTGGCCCAATCAGAATGCGAGTCTTCAAGAATGTTAATACAGAACAAGAACTTCTTAGCAGATGCACTGTCCAGAAAACCCCAATACAACTGTAAAAAGATTGAGGTTATAAAACCGATGATCCAACCAACCCAATTAGCAGCCAAAGTAATCACCCGGGCACAAGAGAAAAAAAATCATCCCTGACTGAAGACACAACGATGTCAATATTTAAGGAGGCACTACTTAAGGATGACTGGCTCCAGGCTAACAAAAACACTTGTTTATTCAAAGATGGACTGGCTTGGGTAGAGAACAAACTTTATGTCCCTGCAAGCCAGAGAATGGACCTCATGAAACACTGCCACGACTCCAAAATAGCGGGACACTTTGGGTTTGTAAAAACTCTGCACCTCATCAAAAGACAATTTTGGTGTCTGTCCCTCCAAAAGGACATTGAAAGCTATGTTGCGAGCTGCCCCACCTGTGCTGCTGCAAAGAGAAGGCAAGGAAAATATCCTGGACTTTTACAAACAGTAGCAGACCCTTCTGCTCCCTGGAAAGAGATCTCTATGGACTTTATAGTGGAGCTTTGCGAAAGTACTGGAAATACTGTCATTTGGGTGGTAACTGATCTTTTTTCCAAACAGGTTCAC